TAAATATCTTTATTTGCACTTTGTAATACATGATCGAGGTCGATCATTCCGGTCAGGTTGGCCGAGCTGTAGTAGAATGTAAGTAGTAGAATACACTGAGTTGTAGTAGAACGTAAGTAGTAGAATACACTGTAAATATGCCAACAATCTGGCAGCGATAGATACAAAATGATAAATCAAAAGCAAATGGCAGCGCTTGTTAAAAAGATTCCATTCCGAATAAACGAGTCAACGGAAGCAGTCGTAGTTTATTCTAAAAAATTAATATGATATAAAATAGATAAACGTTCAAAGAGCTTAATTTAGTTAAAGAAAAACAGCTGGCAACCCTGCTCACCAAACGTGGAAAATTTTCGCTCGTAAAGAGCCGTCAGACGTGGCAATATTTCCGTCTTTCGCACGCGATTCGCTGTCAAATTGAGAAAGAGAAATTTTATTTCGATGTGTGAACAGCCAGAAAGATCTTTCTGTCACTTTTCGGAAATCAGATTCAGAAATAAAATTTGCAAGGTGTGACTGCAACTGCAAGAGCGAAAATCGATTTCGGAAATATATTTCAACTTGCTCGCGCTGCACTAGCAGTTTTTATTTCTTCTTCAAGTGCTTTCAAACTAATCGAGTGTTGCCGTGTGCACTGATCGTGAATTTGTGTAAAATAATAAAAAATATTCTTGAATTAAATATCAAAAATGCTTGAAATATATTATTTTGCTTAATATACTTAATCGTTAAATTATTATTCACTCGGCAAATATGTTAATAATAACCTATATTTTGTGGTTTTGATTTTTGCTTATTTTTGGGTTTAAGTTTTTTGATTGAGTACGGGATTGCGAGCATTGGGCCATATGAATAAAAAATAAGCAATTGCTTTTTCTTAAATATCAGACATTTTACTCGATTTATTAAAACAAAATTGAAGTAAACGGTATGAAAGTTTAAGAAAAAGCAATTGCTTAGTTTTTATTCATGCGGCCCATTGTTAGTGCTGGCTTCAATTATAAGAGTATGCAGCTATTTATAATTTCATCATGGGGTAATGATCGGGATCGGATAAAAAATGTGCATCTCACGGTTGCATTTCCAAAAAAAATAAATATTTATTCAGTGACCACACTGTGTTCCAAAAATGTGTTATTGCATTAATTTTATTACGTTATTATTATAAACAATTTTTTTCGGAAAATATGGAGGCTTCTCAAGATAAGGTAAAATATTTAAAACTACTTGTTACTTCATGTATTGTAATTTATTTTCTATTGTATGTTGTTTTTAATGCAGACATTTTGGACCCACTCCCTAGTAATACAGCTAATAGAGGAGGCGGAGCAGAGACCTTGTCTGTGGCGTAGAATTCTCCTTTTTTAGCTGCCTTACCAAATGTATAAAACTCCTTTTTAACATCGTAGTATTTTTGACGCGAAACTCTTTCTGCGTAGGCCGCTGCGCTTAGGGACTATAACTCTCACAATGTAGAATTCCCCCTTCTGTGTTGCGGAGAAAATGAAAAGAGGTATTTTTGAGCAGAACTTTCTGCGTAGGCGGCCTGCGGCCGCGCTTAGGGATTATAACCCTCAAAAAGTAGAATT